ATCATTGATTATTTGCAGGCAATTCAAAAGCTTTAGAAGGAAACTTGGTGAGAAACTGGGCTTCTCCTTTTTCATCTAAATGGCAGAATCAGTGTGTAATTAGTTGTTGGTTAGTAGACTCATGCACATACAACAACAGTCTACAGGACCCAACTGGTTTTTCTTCAACTTCATCGTTGATTTTGTTTTTTTTTTTTTGCTTTTTCAGACCTATCAAAATGCTGCAGAGGCTGATGAATGGAGTGGTCAGTTAATTCTCTGCAACTCTCATCTACATTTTTGGGATTTGATAACGATTTGATATTCTAATAAAATACTATTGAGTTTTCTTCATTTCTATTATGATGGATTTGGTGTATTTTTTACGAATTCAAATCCTGCCAATTCTACTTTACTTGCCCATACCTGGAGTACATCCTTCACTTTATTCTTTTAATTTCACATCATTCTTATTCGATCTTTTGTGACAATTTCTCATACTCATATCTATCTTACTTTTCCTAATTTTTTGGAGGAACGGCTTTATAAAGAAAAGAAAAGAAAACAGAGGAAAGGAATATACGATTGGATATATGTAGGTTAGATGCTCCATTGAATTCGTTTGTGGGACTAACAGATTACTCATTATCTGGGCAGAAAAGGAAATAGGTATTAGATCTCACAAGGAAACCTGGAAAAAATTCAGCGAATACATTTACCACATCCCATTCAAATTGTTAATTAAATTCTGAAGGATAACACAGTGTTCAGTTAATTGTGCAGGCAGAAACCCGAACAAGAATCTGAATAGGGGAAGAATAAATTATGGCCTTCAAAGGTAATTTGTTGACCTAATAATCAATACAATTAAATGGTGAGATGTCATTAGGCAACAATGAGACAATCCCTCCTAAGTAAACCATTTTATGTATAACTTTTAAAAGTTTGAGTTGGAACTCTCTCTAAGCTTCATTCTCAACTTTTAGATAATCTAGGTACTTAGGGATGTGTTTGATGTGCGCTTAAAAAGTAGGATAGGATTGCAAAGGAATTTTACTACTGGAAAAGTGGTCATTGTCGCATACCAGTGAAAACCAAAACTTTACCTGGCTTCATATGCACCCTTTGCAATTTAGGCACCTTGCTATTAAAGTGATGTCATGAGTTAGAAAAGTTACCCTGAAAAATAGAAATTCTAGTCAAATTGCATCATCTTGACATTAGTCATACAAATTCAGTGAAAGCAATGCCCCTTGGAATCGGTAGACTAACTAAGCCTTAAAAACTGTCTAATTTTGTTTTGGGTGAAGGTGGTGGATATCAGATATGAGAGATGAAGAATTTGTGGAATCTTAAGGGTGAGATTTCTATTTCAGGGTTGGAGAACATTGTTAAAGTGCAAGATGCATGGGAAGCTAAGCTGATTGATACTCAGGCCTCAATGAGTTAGAGGTGGAGTTCAACTTTTGTTAACAATGCAAGAAATAAAGAAGTTGAAGAAGTGGTGCTGAACTCGTTGAATTATGGCTGTCTTTGCTGCATTGCTGCCACAGGGGATTGCTTTCTACACATTTGGAAACCAGCTTGGTTGGATTCAGGGTCAGTTTACTTTCTGCTCACCAAATGTTTGATTATTTTCCTTTAGTCATATGTGCGCTTGCTTAGTTTGTGCTCCTTAGTTATGTTTGTCATTTTTAATCTTTCACCATAGCTTTGTTTGTGCAGCATTAGTTGAAATATTTTATGTTTAGTTTATTTTTAAAAGCAATGTATCAGATGGTGCGAGCAGTTGAAGATATTTTTGTTCACTGTCTTGATTATCTAAATATGTATTCTTTTAACGAAAAGTGATGTATGAAGAGTTGAAATTCTGGCATTTTTTGAGTTTTGTTTTTCTTCTTGTTTTCCAACAAACTTTGGTCTCTTCATCGAGAGTTTAGTCTGCAGATCTTTAAGTTTTTTTCCATCCAACAGAAACCAAGGATAAATTTCTTTTATCTCTGCCTGCCCTTACTCAATGCCAAGGATAACACTTGTTTTTCTCTATCTGTCCACACGAAACCAAGAATAATGCCTTATTTCCTTGGTACAAACTCTTCCTAAATTTACAACAGCAGAAACTAAGGTTTTTGCTTCTGCCTTCTGCTCCTTCTACTTGGGTGGCGTTGGACAAGTAATGTGAGCAGCCACTAAAGCCAAGAGAACTTTATTGGTCATCATAAAGAGCTAAAGAAACTCACCATAAAAAACTATGGGACTACCAAATTTCCAACTTGGATAGTAGATTCTTCATTACAAAATTTATTGTCCTTGCATCTCATGAATTGTAAAATTGCAGATCATACCAGCAATTGGAAAATTATCACTGTTGGAATCCCTTTGCATTGAAGGAATGGTTGGGTTGAATAACATTGGTGTTGAGGTCTACAGAGATAATCAATCAGATGCATTTTGAACATTAAGAAGTTAGAACTTTGTGAATTTTCCAGAATGAAAGGTATGAGACTTTTGTGAAGCTGATGATCAGGTTGTGAAATTCCCCAATATCTGCATTCTTTCTAACATTAACTGCCCTCAATTGTCAGGAAGATTGTCTATCCGTCTCAATGTCCTAAAACTACTTGAAATTTGCAGGTGCCTGCCATTGGTGATTTCAATTTTAAAGTTTCCAACCCTGGTGGTATTAGATGTAGA